GTTCTTGTGGTATAATGGCTAATGGCTCGAAATTGTTAATCGGAGAGCCATTTTTCATTGGATTCGTTATGCTCACTTAACGCGCAAATACCCTTGGGAAAGGCGTTAATCCAATTCTTCTCCCCCAGCTATGGGTTAATTAGTTAGACTTGTATCACTAAAACCATTATTATCTCCTCCCCAAATATATGCAATCCAAAAATATTTTCTGGCTTTAAATAACCTGCAAAGGGTGATAAGCCGTAAAAACAATCAATCAATCAATTTCACTTTATCCCTGTCTATATATCAGTTTATATCTATCATACATCAATAACAGCCTGTTCACATCTATTTATTGCTATTTAGATTCTAACAATATACATCCTTGTGCAAATTAATTGAAACCACCGCTTTCGTTCCCTTTCCTTAACCATTTGGTCAGTTTTAGACCCACTGGATAGACGGTGTGATCGATTTCTTTTTTTTTTCTTTTCCTCAGATTAGGTCATTTGCAGTGGTGTACAGTAATATGAATCTATTTTCGGGGTGTGTGATGAAATTTGTTTGAAAAATATTGCGTCATCCGTGATTATATCAGATTTTTATCACGCCCAGACACTATTGTCTCGACTGTCGATTAGCTGTCCTACTTCCATTGTCTGCGATAGACGTTACTCCAAGGAAGCGTACAAAAATTTGTAACGCTGCACGAACACACTGATAAGCATTACCAGTGAGTAAATCAAAGTACTATAGACTGACCCGGAAACTCTCTTGATTTAAATCCAATCAAGAATCTGTGGTCAACCTGCAAGGAACGACTTCGTGGAGTGGACATACGAAGTACTAACATGTACACTAGTCATGTTTCATTGGAAAAATACGAAAAAAAAAGTAAATAATAACGGAATTATTCGTTTTGTTTCAATTAATTTGCACAAGTGTGTATAATTAACCACAAAGACTTGTATTATCATCTAAAAAAATCTAAAAAATATATTTCTGTCTTTAAATAACCTGCAAAGGGTTGATAAGCCGTAGAAAATGAATCAGTCAATGGAAACCGAAATGGATTATTCTTTGACAAGTGTAACTGCGAAATGGCAACTAAACCCCAGCAAAGATGTTCAATGGCGTTTCATTCTAGTGAGGTCAAGGATTACCTGGGAGTGAGTTGAATGTTCGTGGAACTAGTTTCGTGTCACCGTGTCTATCCAAAATTGTCATATTCTTCGTATACACTTGCCACTGTTGCCTGAGTGCCACCACGGACATCCATTTGTCAGCCCCAGTAATCATTCTGCTGTCAAAAGTTTTTAACTCCTGTCGGCGTTCCGTAGCTGTCATAGCTTCACTACTTCTTTATTCATTACATCATTCAACTGAGGCCATTTCTTCAAGTAGGCGAGAATGAAACGTTTCGCTATACTGTTTTTCTTTTGTCGTGTTTTTTAATCAAGTTCACCCTAAGCAAGGCAGTAAAGCCACTAAGACACAAGAGACTACTGGATGTGGAAGAATTAGAAAACAGAAACATTACTAAGGATCACGTATAGAGGGGAGTAACCAGGAGGATAGTAGATAGCGATTGACTCAATGTTCCCTCAGGGCAAAGCCGGAGAGACCCTCCTGGTAGTGGGTTACTAAATGAAGTTTTCGTATGGACGCAAGATGGGGAATTAAGTGTAGATTATGAGGATATGCAGGATATATTGGTTGACACGAGACATGAAGGGGTTAAAATTGTAATGAACAGGAAAACATCTTCTCAGGCATTTGTTCCACAGAGCAGCGTTTCTAGGGAAGAAGCTGTCCGAGTAGAACTTCCTTCTTGCCAATGGAATACGAAGACAATGAGGTTGATTCACCTCTGTGTACGTAAATGGCAGTCTTAGCTCTAAATGTCTGTTACATTGTTAAATAATAAATAAATTAATACATCTCGTTTACCGAGTAGTAGTTGAATTCATGACCAAAAAAAAAAAAAAAGAGACGGTGTGAATGAAAATAATTCATTGCCCACAAAGCCGCGTAAATTTTTTGAACTCTTTTATGGTCAAAAAAATGACGATTGAAAACATGCGACTGCATTTGAAGGGTTTTTTTTTCTTAGAAAAGAGGAAAATGTATTTCCAACCAGAACTTATCCAGTTTTACAACGTTTGGAATATATTTTTATTCTAGGTCTGCAGTTTCCGTTAGAGAAAACGTTGCCTTGTATATATATATATATATATATATATATGAAGAAATATAGTCTTAAGATGTGCTATATTTATGGGATGAAGTGCTCAATATCAAAGATAGAGCGTGTTGTAAATATAAATTGACGATTGCAAATCTTAAATGAAACAGACTGGAACCTCTAATTGTCGAATTTCTATGTTCACTTTATATATATATATATATATATATATATATATATATATATATATATATATATATTGATTTAAATAAACATTTATGTTCATTTTTTTAAATATCCTGACCTCGGCTGCCTTTCGGCCAACGCATCATCAGGAACCAATCGTTGGCAACTTTTAACTTATTTGGATTGATAAGAGATTGTACTGGAACACGCTTAAAATTACGAAATACGTAAAATTGAGAAAAAAAATAAATAAATTTACGATTAAAATACGTAAATAAAGAAAAAAAATGATTCTTTTAAATAAAAGGAAAAAATAAAAGCTCACATATCTCCGAATAAATTCAAGGATCTTAAAAAATTCTCCTTCTGCTTGAATAGTACAGGTTGAATAAATTTAAGCATAAAGCATCCAAAATTAATAAATGATTTTTTGATATACCTGTATGCAAAATGGAAAAATAAAATATCTGAAAAACAAGACGAGCATGACTGGATTATCTAAAAGGTGTTGTCAATTGATGACTCGTGTGCTGATTGCGACACACGAGAATGATCACAAGAATGTAATCTAATATACATATTCCAACCTGTACTATGCAAGCAGGAAGCAGAATTTTTTCAAAAAAAATAAAATAAAAATAAAATAATAAAAATAAAAAATAAAAATAAAATGAACATAAAATTACCATGTTTATTTAAATCAATATTCCTGTTCTGTGGTATCAGGTCAATTTTGTTTAAATACATATATATATATATATATATATATATATATATATATATATATATGTCTTAAAATTGTGTGTGAAAGACAATAGGAAAACTGTAATAGTTGCCGACGCGTCTCGTCCGATGTGGACTTTTTCAAGGCAAAAACGAAATGAATTTATTAAACAAAGCTACTAATAGTAAAACAAAATCTCCTTAGCAACTGGAAGAATTTAGAGAACGCTATTTTCATACTGTTAACTGAAAATTATATCAATTACTATCACGTGTGGAAATATTGTTTTTATTGCTGTGTTGACGGATTCAACCATTTTCTTTTGATTTCTTAATACTGTTCTGTACGTTTGTTTGGAAGAGTAGTTATTCTGTTAAGAAAGGTGAAATAGGGAAAAAGCCTGGTCGTAGATTAATATTTAATTTAATGTTTGAATCCCTCAACACAGCAATAAAAACAATATCTCCACACATGACAGTAATTGACGTAATTTCAGTTAAAAATATGAAAATAGTGTTTAATAAATTCATAAGAAAAGAAAAAAAGTCCACGTCGGACGAAACGCGTCGGCAATTATTACAGTTTTCCTATTGTCTTTTACATTTATAAATATTGTCTTTTTCTACAGGATAACTCTGAGAATTTTGAAATATATATATATATATATATATATATATATATATATATATATATATATATATATATATTTTCAAACCTAAAAATAAGACAAACCTTTAGGGTTTCACCTAAGCGGATCGTCAGGAAAGCATTATTTTCCCTGACGATCCGCTTAGTGAAACTTGGGTATATATAAATATTTAAAAAAGGTTTGACTAGGTCTAACTCTACTTTTTTATTTTTTTTTTTTTAAGTCAAAAGTTGTTTACTCGTATAGGTTTTTTTTTCTTTGGGCTTTGGACCTGTATGCTGTACGATTATTTTCGACAGACGTTCATGTTCATATAAATTTTTTTTTTTAAACCATTTTTTCCTTTTCGAGATTGATTTGCCCATTATTAAAAAATCAAGAAACCGAAGGTTTTTTCCGAGACAAGTTATATTACATATATATATATATATATATATATATATATATATATATATATATATATATATATATATATATATACTTTACAATTGGAATTAAGACACCTTTAAAATTAACATTCGTAAAATTTGCTCTGTTTATTGAAAATAAACATGGAGCGCTCTTTTGTGAGTGAGGTTTAACATTTCAAATTCTATGTTGTGTTCATAGGAACGGATTACTATATATATATATATATATATTACCATATATATATATATATATATATATATATATATATAGTCAAACCTACCAAGGTTTCACCTAAGCGGATCCTTCGTAGATTTGTCTGGATCTCTAGGTTTGACTAGGTCTGCTCTATTTTTATATTGAGCACTTTTTTAGTTAGTTGATTACTCGTATCGGTAATTTTTCTTTGGGCTTTGGATCCATATGCTGTACGATTATTTTCGACAGACGATCATGTTCATAGCTCTTTCTTTTTTTAAAACCTTTTTTTCCTTCGAGATTGATTTGACCATTAGCAAATCAAGAAACCGAATTTTTTAAGTGTCCCTATATTTCTTCTGTATTTGGTATACAAGGAAAAGAACTGTGAAACATCCTCTCAATTAAATAAATCTCTACATTGATGACTGCAAAATTGATTAATTAGTAAAGATTATTGGGGAAGTTAATGTATTCTCAGTGTTTACGTACTTCAAAGACATAAATCATTCACACTTGATGGTCATTTTCCCTTGATGACATGCATATTCCCCCAGTGAGATTTCTATGACATTTAGTCATTTATTGGCATGCATGTGACTTGGCCTCATCTATTTATAGGTCCTGTTAAAAGGAACCCCAGGGAGACTGAAATTAAGGCAAATAAAATGAATCCCACAGCGTCAACAAATCTTGACAACACAGACACCTACAATGCAACTCAGGAAGACACAACCACGTCGACCACCAAGTTCAACAGCAGTAACAACGCTGCAACCAAAGTAGATAAGCCAGAACTAACTTGCCTAACTCAAGCGGTAGACGCTAGAAGGTATGTACCTTAATAAAATTTAGCTGACATATATATATATATATATATATATATATATATATATATATATATATATATATATATATATAAATATATATATATAAAGAAAAGAACAGCAAGATATATAATCCGGTGTTCTTAAAGATATTTTTATTTTTACAAAATAGTGCTCAATGTAAATTTACAGAGCATTAATATTATAAATTAATTGATTTAAAATATGGTTTTTCGCTACTTTTCGGGGCTTTTAGCTTCCATTTTTGAAACATGGTTAGAACTGTGTAGCGAAAAAAAACCCTATTTTAAATCAATTAATTTATAATATATATATATATATATATATATATATATATATTATTTCAACGTTATTTTTTGGTAGATACCAATATTTGGGTTGGCGTTCCGTTTATTTTAAACAGTATATCTATTTTCGCCTACCGGCCTAAATGTTCGAGATTTAAAACAAATGATAGGATTTCAGTTTAAAATAAACGGCGCGTCTATTCAAATATAGGTATCTATTAAAATAGCAGTTAAAGTGATAAAAATCTGCCGGATTAATAAATAAAAAAAAATCATTACTTCATATATATATATATATATATATATATATATATATATATATATATACATATAAATTTGAATTAGGAAACAAACAACTTTAAGGGTTCATGGTAATTATAATTTATTTATTTAAAATCGAAATTCGATTCTAATTCCTCAGATCAATATTTTCATACAAATAAATTGGTGACAAATATTCCAGGTATAAAAAGAATTCAGTATAATTATTTTTAATTTATACACACATGTGTTTGAGAAGGTCGGTTTAAATTGGAGCAGGAAGGGTTGAAGGAGATATATCTATCAAAAGGGAAAAGGTGATTGAGGGAGTGCAAGATAAAAGACATGCAAAAAAAAAAAAAAAAAGAGGAAAAGAAAAAAGTGATAAAGAAAAAAAGAGATAGATGCATTTACATCCATCTTAATAATGTGACATAAAATAAAGACGAGGAGGTGCCAGGTTTGTTCGACATGTTGACCTCTTTCTCACGTATATCCGGCAGAAAAGTTGAAGGGGAGCGTAGAAATAAGTGTCAAGAAAAAAAAAAGAGACAGAGTACAGACACTTCTACACACACCCACACGAATATACACACTTACACACATCATACTCACTCACTCCCTAATGAGCCAAATGATAACCCACACCCATAGTAATACACACGCTTACACACATCATACTTAACAGTGACACATCCCCTTTCCAGGAACCAATAAAACTGTCAAAATCACCAAGGGAATTCAGAGCAGCATGAATCCACCCAGCTCTTACCTTAAATAACAACTCAAAAGACTGACTAAAATTCATGTTAGAAAATTAAAAAAACAAAAAACAAATGAAAACTACAGACAAAAGTTCATTTTCTCCATCAAGTCATTTATTTCTGTAGTTCACTGCTACCAGCAAGCAGGATTTTTTTCCTGATGATGGCCATATTGGCCGAAACTAGTTGATGAACCTAACTAAAATAATAATAAAAACAAAATAATATTAATATACAACCCAGTGTGTCTGAAGATTTTAATTTTTTTAATATTTTTTAATGTCATATATATATATATATATATATATATATATATATATATATATATATATATATATATATATATATAAAAAAATTATTTATTTAGGAAATTTATAACATAAACATGTTATAAAATCACTATAAAAATAGCCAATACTCGGTGTCTTTTCAAGTGATGATGTTGAATGTAAAACAAATGGTTATATATATATATATATATATATATATATATATATATATATATATATATATATATATATATATTGAACTAGTCAATCTATTAGCACGCTTAAATTCATGCAGTTGAGGCAGCAAGGAGGAAAGCTCATCAAAGCAATTGCCATGAAAATATTTGTAGAAAAGTCACGTCACGTCGGTGAGAAATTGACTGAAGTTGAGATGCCAGATCAGTTCCGATTATATTACAGACAGTTCTTTGAATTTTCTCAAGAATGTCGAGATATAGAATCTAAGATTTGCCATTTATTACAAAAAAAGTAAATAAATAAAACTAGTAATGTAATTATAAAAATTAATATTCTCAACCCAGCACCCTATTTCATAAGAATGATGTTGTTTCTGAATTTATCTGTCCAAATAATAACTAATGTATACTTTATATAGGTTGCACAACAATCACGCTTTCTCGTAGAATTACGTGTCATTTATTCAAACAAAGTGCTATTAAACAGCACATTAACAAATACCATAAGCACTATAGTAACATTAGACAGCTCCTTACAAATAATACCAAAATAATTCATAAATCCAATAGCTTCTCTGTACCTTTGCTATAAATACTTTCATGGTAATTGTTTTGACGAACTTTCCTCTGTGGTACCTAGACTTTATGAATTTAAGGATAGATTGGCGGCAAGGTCTGATCATTTTACGGTTTAAATGGCTAGAGGTACGCTAACAGCTTCTTCTATCGCACTTCTCTCTTGTGGAACGCTCTATCGGCTGCTTGCTTCCCAGTCAACTTTGATCTTCAAAAAATTAAATGCAATATCAGTCGTTATCTTATGTCTTCTTGACTCTTGCTCTTTTATTATTTTCTCTCCTTAACAGTATTTTTTCATACACCCTAACACTCAGTAAGCCCTTGCGTTTTCGTGGCTTTATTGCCTTGCTTTAGGGGAAATGATAAAAAAGGACTAAATATTATTGAAGCTACTTACATCTAACAGAAATAACCATGCATCAATAAGATAATTATAGTCTCCAACAACGCATTCTCCAATGCATAGAAAGTCACCACACATTTAAGTTACAGTTGCACGTAGTAAAAAAGACTTCCTGCGTTTGGATTTATCCAATTCAATTAAAATATAATGACACTTTTAAAAAGTACCACTTAAAACATTTCCGATTTTCTAACATGATGATTCATGTTACTCAAAAGATTGGGCACGACCTTGATGTTGGATTGTTCATATATATGTAGCAGTCAGATTTGTGTAATACACATTAAAGGGGCGGATCCCCCATCCTCCCATAAAATATTATGAGAAATTTTTTGTGAGGAGGGAGGAAAAGGTACACGCCCCTGCAACCAAGGGGTAACGTTTCTCTTCACTCCTTCGCCATCGGGCTAAGATCAAAGTGTAGTAACTGTTCTCATTTCTAATAGTAATGGTAATATTAGCTGTTTCCTTATGAAGAAATATCCGGCATTCATTGATCGAACAGCAAGTGTTCGTCGAGTGACTTTTCTCTTCACTCCTTGGGCACCGGGCCAAGATCAAAGTGTAGTATCTGTTCTTTTCATTTCTTATAGCAATGGTAATATTGGCCGTTTCCTTATGAGGAAATATTCGGAAATCACTAATCGAGCAGCCAGTACGGCTGTAGGTTAGAATTTTAAAAAATCTTTCTCTTAAAACAATTTTTCAGAAAAATAGGTTTCTCAAGTCCAGTAGCTGTTATTGCTCTTTGCATTACTGATGGAGGTTTCCCTCCTAAACTTTTATTTGACGTAGTGTGGAACCTCAACATTTTTATTATGTCATTGTTTTTTCTTTGAGTGTCATGTGATATCTATTTTTAGCTGCTGATGATGTTGAAAGTCCTCAAATGTTATCGTTTCTGTTATTTGTTACAGATCTTTTGTATGATTTTGTAGCGCCAGTTCACAATGTTAGAAGTAGGACGTTCTTCGTCAAAACCCACAGGCTTCACTCGCTCAAAGGCATTTGTAACCATTGATCTTCGAAAGGGGTCGTATACAGCTGACAGTTTAGATATTTCTGAACGGGTTTGGGACCATGAATGACATCTATATGAAAGTGTCGACCTGATTAAGCCATTTAAGAACATGACACAGGTTTTCGGGTTAATATTTTTGGTTTTGCTGATCGTTATGTACACGAGTTGCACTGAATTTAGACAAGTGACAACATACGATAAAATGAAGTCAGCCTTAACGGTCAAAACATTATAATATAAAAGAAACAACAAACATTTAATAAAATATCTTTCGCCATAGGAAATATATATTTCTCAAAATGTGTGTGTGTGTATGTATGTGTGTCTGTGTGATCGGATGTTGTTTATACGTTTCCACAGTTTTCATCCGATTTCGATGATTTTTTTTGTTTGATAGATAATTCTTCAGTGCCGGTTTTGAGTCCAAATTGTTGGTGACAATGGCTCTCCACTACTTCCTGCCCATTGTAACACAGCAACGTCTTACTATTTACTGTCTGTTCTTGGATATATAACATTCATAAAAACTTTAATAAAAATAAATACTTTAAATTATTACAATATCTATAATTCTCAAAATGTGTGTATATATGTATGTGTGTGTGTGTGTGTGTGTGTGTGTGTGTGTGTGTGTGTGTCTGTGTGTGTGGATCTCTTTGTGTCTGTCTTTAACTTAAAAATATTTTAATTAAAAAAAAATTGTTTATTTCAAGAAAGTTAAAATAAAAATACTGTATAAACAACTCGTATTTTAAAATCTTATTCACTTAAAATATTTTTTAAATCAGATTAACTTAAAAATATTTTTTTAAATATTTAAAATATTGTTGGTTTAAAGAAAGCTGCAATATAAATAATTACCCTACAAACAACTGGACGAAACAACAAAGCGGAATCTCTTTATGTCTGTGTTTATCTTAAAAATAATATTAATTTTTAAAAAATTATCTGTTTGAAGAAAGTTAAAATATGTGTGCTTAAAGGTGTTTTTTGCTGCCGAGAGCTTTTGTGTTGATGAGCAGGTAGTTCAGCAGTAACTGTCCATTAATGGTATGAACATTGATTGATGGGTTTGTCTTTGGTTTCATGTTTTCTTTATTTTTACTTCAACTTAGGCGACACTATTTTTTGGACATGACACAAATTCCGGGTTTGTTAATGATTTAGTCGTCGAACGTCTACAATATGCAAATTTTCTGCAGG